GAATATCATGATTTTTTGTGATTTTGATCCTTATTTCTTGGCCACAACATTCTATGTCTAGATAACCAGTCTCTACTTCCATTCTGATTGCCTGTGTTTCTCAGATCGGCGATTACATTGACGTTGCTATTTCGGAGCCAATACCCAATAATTTCGGCGGTCTTGCCTCAGTCGAAGCGCGAGGTCCTTCGCGCCGACTCGCTGTGAATGCATTGGCAACTCTAAGTGCAGGATCAAACTTTGGCGTAGGAAACCGGATGGAAGCTCGTCTTGGAAATGTCGCTGTTGGCGCCTCTAATCCAATAAATTCAGCGCAGTTCGGAGGTCCCGTTGCCAACCGAGTTCGAGGGGTCTATTAATCCTCTTCCATATTTCCCCTGTTTTCAATCTTTAATTACCTGAAATCAATCAGTTTAATCATATTTTCTATCATTTTGCACAAAAATTTCAATCCTTATATTCCCATGTTTTTCCAAAGACATTTTTACTGGATTCAGTATATATACTCAATCATCGCCTGAGACCTATTTTCATTGTTTCCGCAATTTAATGTTCTCTTGTTCATGGATGTCTCGCATTTAATTAGTGAGTCCAACCCAGCTCCAATTTTTCACTCCAAATATGTTAGTCTACATAGCAATCTCTTTGTCACCTAATTTTTCTTCTATTATTAGCTGTATTTCTCAAGATAAACTACTTTATGCTTTGTCTTGCTTATGATTTTTGAGAAACCAAAAACATTGTGTGTATCTTACTCAATCTGGTGACTCCAGACCTATTCAATTTGAAATTCTTGTCCGTATTGTTGTGTTCTTTGAATTCTTACTGATAATGGTATGGGCCTATATTTTGGCACAACAATGAAGATCTTTTTCTTTCTGCTTAGGCTGTTCGCTAGTTATTTCACATGATAAATGTTATAGGTTGACTCTACTTCTATATATATATATATATATATATAACTCTCCGTGTTGCTTCGACCAAGTTGCTAAAACTAGGTTATACCAACAATGGTTGTATTTGTGTTCATCCGATGAAATCACCACCTTCATCTTTGCATAGTGTAAACAGTGGATCCTTTTATCTTGCACAAGCTTGGGAACATGAATTTTTCTTGGTAGAGGAAATCCAGACAACGGTTACTTTACTACGACTGCCAAAGAACGAAAAAGTTTGTTTTGAATGGATTTCATCTGCTGATGAAATATCTCTCGAACAAAACCGACGACATCTTGGAACGCTTTGATTAGTTTCCTGGGTTAGTCTATCTTGGAACCGACATTATCGCAGTCTGCTAAAAGTAATATCAGTCGACCTTACCACAGAATTTGGAACAAGGAGTCCCTTCTTCCAGGGCCAAGAATTGGCCTGTTCACTAGAGCAAATGTAAAAGGGGTCAGTATAACAATCATATCCAGGGACTTAGTTCCTAAGTGATTGGCACATTCTTTTCGTGTGCTGATAAAAGTGCGAAATTAGGAAGTGAGTAGCTTTGTCCTAAGTTGATGTTTTCCCTCACCATTTTTCTTGATATTGTGAATACTTTCATTTCGTATGGGAGTACATGATGAAGAGCTTAGTGTCTCAATCCCTCCAGAAGGCGCTGGCTGATCCGCATTGTACTGCACCCGTTTGGCCTTAATACCACGTTCAGATTGATTAATTCCACGAGACATCCTCCCATGTTTCGTGCGAAGACGGGCTGAGCTTTCGTTTGCTATGCCACATGACCGACATCGTCAGAGCTGGTACTCATTCTTGCAAAGGCATTAATTTAAAACTAAATCAGAAAGATTAACCGGTTTTTTTCTGTGATGTATGTACTCATTGCGAGCAAAATTTAAGATGGATATAGAAACGTTTGGTCAATTCTCCTACTCGAGTATGTTTGTATGTGTGTGTGTCGCAAAAACTGCCAACTCAGGGTAATTAGAAAACAGCTTAACGTCAGCTCCGGGTCGTCAAGGCCTGATGACCAAATAAAAAAGGAATCATCGAGACTGTTTGTCCATAAGTAACCCTGGCTGAATTGATGAGATGAAGTCTGTCAGGATAAGAAACCATCAATCTGAGCCCGTTTGGTTTATGAAGGCCTAATGAGTCAAGGGGACGTATGGCTTGGATTGCATAGTTTTGCACGTCTGATTTGATGTGTTTGGCATGTCTGTTGAACGAGTGTCAATTTGCTTAGGAGCATCACTAAGCTGGTAAGTTGAGTCCCCTTCTTTTTGACGCCGGCTGTAGACCCTCTCTTTTTTAATCTTTCAATCAAACACTATCATTCCTACTCAACTTTCTACCGCTATTGTTCATATTCTACGTATTCTCTAATCTATTCATTTTAATAGCCTCTCATCTTGCGTTTCGTCTCAGACATGTCATAATCAGCAAACCACTGAGTATGAGACTATTCTATCTCATGTCCAGTCCCCGTCATATGTTCCTCCACTTCTGACCGTTCGACCAAGTTCCGCTAATCTGGCGGATCGGCCGAAGGGTCTCACAAACATAAGACCGACCACAGGAGCACATAATCTTGTAACAGACTCATCTTGATAGTGAGTCAGAGTTTCTTTAGAAACTGTCTTTATCACTCACTTCTTACTAGTTATCTTATCTTCTTACAGATAAAACAGGATTAGAACATGAGAAGGGTTATCGGCTTGCCTATCTCTGATCAGATAGTCTTCGCTTGAAAATTTATCGTTCATTATTATCAATTAACCCCAAAGTATTATTATTATCCAGACATAATGAGGAATTAAGGGAGAAAGAGTTTTCAAAGAAGCTCTGACATTTCTTTTAGAGAGAAATGACTCACTATCAAGATTCGGCTATTACAAGATTATGTTGGTGAGACCCGTCGGCCGATCCGCCAAATATTAGCATGTAAAGGCAACTTGGTAGAACGATCAGAAGTGTAGGAATAAATGACAGACTGGACAGGAGATAGCATAATCTCATGCGCAGCGGTTTGCTGATTATGATATGCCTGTCGCAAGTAATCTTCCTTTGCATCTCTGTGAAGCTTTTCCATACAGCTTTTGGTACTAAGTGGAAGATCAAACGGCATTAAAATACGTTTGCATGAGTCGACTTGATTGGGACAATTTTTAAATCTCCTTTAGCCTACAGCCATACATAGTTTGCACCCAATTACCGACGTTCATCCCTTCTATTTAGTATTGACTATTTTCGGTACAAGTAAGTTCCAGGGTACCAGTAATTACCGATAAACGACAAGATCGCTCAAGGTGAGCTAGGACTGATGACTGATTTTTAAAGCAATAAGCTGATGAGACCCAGACATGTGGTGGAATTTCGCCTGGCGTTACCGACAAAGAGGCTAGCAGCCAGCAGTCGGCAAATTGATGCCTTTAGAAAAGTATTTTAGTTTAGCACTCTCAGTATGGCGTGCAGCCGGGACAAAGTTTACAAAGAAACCAAGTCAGATTTGAGTTTGTTTGAGTTGTGAGACAAACATATTCAAAGGAATTTGGCTTTCGTTTCAAATTGATGTACCAACCCAGCCGATAGGCCAACAACGGATTGACGATCAAAATGAAACTCATTCTAGACTACGACTCGTGAATAGTGCTAGAGCCTACAGCATCACAAATTACAATGAGGATCGAGGTGTGGCCTCTATCTTGGTCACAGCTCTCTGTTTAGGGTTGGCTTGACCTTTGTTGAAATGATTTATGCTATACTTTTCATAATGATGTTGAGCGCTGTACCGACATGAACCGTACCAGGTCCACAGTACGCCGCTAGAAGTTAACATGGTCTCTGTGGTGCGCTTCTGAGGTCCACCTGGCAGCACAACCAAGTGGCCACAATGA